AAAAAAAAAAAAAAGATTTACAAACAAAATAACAGCCTGTATCAACTCTCCAGAAGAGAGATGGTATGACAATATTAATCCAAACATCACGCTATTTAATTCCCCAATAAAACATTGGAAAAAAAGGAGCCAACAGTATCTGCACTAACACTTTGCTACATATAAAATCTCCAGCTAATATGAAGCTTATGGTACCAACCTCTAAAACAGTTAAGATATATACACATAGTTTTTGTTTTTTTGTTTTTGTTTGGGGGGGTATATTAACAAACAGAATATTACAAAATATTAAAGAAGGCAACTCTTCTGTCATTTGTTTTGGGAGGGTGGGTGTGGATTTTTGTTCCTGTTTTTCTTCACTTGAAGTTGGCGTAGTCTGAGAAGGCGTCGATGTATTCCTGCACCACCTTGTAGCAGAATTCGTACTGTTCCTGTGGGGTTTGGGACACAGCAGGGTTAGACCAGGAAAACCCACACCTGACACAGCACCTGGTGTCCAGAGCAGGTCCCCCCTCCCTGTGACCCCCACGCAAAAGAAACTCTGCTTTCCTTCCCCCTCTGAGGTTCTGTTTGAATCCCAAAAGACTTTTCTTTTAAAACCCTGAGCAAACCCCTCTTGCCACACCTCGTGTGCAGGGTTCCACAGCCACTCCAGGACACTCTCCCAGAGTTTCAGCCCATTCATGTATGGACTGTGGCTGAGGATGTCTCCAAGGAGGTTCCTACACCTGTCAGTGCTTTAAAGGTGATGCCTTAGTAAGAGGAAGGGGAGACACCTCCTGACTCACCTCCTCAGAATCATGGATCCTAGAATGGTTTGGGTTGGAACCTTAAGGATGACCTTGTTCCAACCCCCTGTCATAGACAGGGACACCTCCCACTAGCCCAGGTGGCTCCAAGCCCCATCCAACCTGGCCCTGGACACTTCCAGGGATGATGAACCCACACCTTCCCTCCCTCCCTCTTTCATGGAGAGCAAAAACCTTGAATCAAAGAGGTTTTTTGCTCAACACTGAGCCCCCAGCCCGTCCTTGCTGAGGTCCTGGCAGGGCAGGAGGCACCTACCAGTGTCTGCACCATGTGTGGCCTCTGTAGTCTTAAACTCTTGACTGTCTGAAAGACGTCGAGGATGGCCTCTGCCTTCACCCTCTCCAGGACAGTGCTCAGCGCACAGAAGGTGCCCGTTCTTCCTGCTCCAGCACTGGCAAAGAGAAACCAGGGGGTGAGGGAAAACCCCAGTCGTGCCCCAGCCTGTCCCTGTTTATCCAGGCCATGTTTTGGGTTCTGACCATCTCTGGTGGAGCAGATCCCCTCAGGGCTGGCCCAGCTGCTCCAGCCAGGCTTTACCTGCAGTGCACAGTGATGGGGTGGTTGCCAGACTGCTGCTGCTGTTTCTGCACTGCTGCAATGATGTTGATCATCCCCTTGCCGTCCCCGGGGATCCCAACTTCTGGCCAGCCGTGGAAGTGGAACTGCCGGATCTGTCTGCTCTTGTTTTCCTGTCGGGAGGGCACAGCTCCGGGTCAGGCAGCACCAAGGAACCCACGGGCTCAGGGCTTTGGGATAACAATCCATGGAGGAGTGGCATTCCCAGGGCACAGAGTAGGGGGGAGGCTTGGTGGTGAGGGCAGCAGAACACAGGGGATGGGCAAGGAATGAGCAGCAGGACTCTCAGGGGTGGGGGGCAGGGATAAAATCCCTTTGGGACAATGGGGAGCCCATGGAGCTGAGGGAACACCAGCACAGGCTCATGGCAATGAAACCCAGGAGCACACAGAGACCCCCAGAGGGAGCAGGCAGGCTCTTACCCTGGTGTTGGTCACCAGCAGGTCCCTCACTGTGTAGCTCTCACACTCCTCCTCCTTCTTCAGCTCCACCGTGATGTCCCCGTAGGACACGGAGCCGTCGGAGGGCCAGTACTGGGCACACTTCTCCTGAGGGAGCACACAGGAGGCCACAGGGTGAGGACCCCGTGTTTTTCCCATGGGTTTGGACAGAAGAATCTTCTGGCAGCTGCCCAACACCAGGTGGGATCCCACAGGCTTCACAGGCTCCCAGAATCACAGAACTCTTTGGGCTGGAAGGGACCTTAAGGCTCATCCCATTCCAAACCCTTCATTTATTCATTTCCCTGGTGTCCAGTGCAGCTGATCCTGGGAGCTTACCTGGCCTCTCTCCTCCAGCTCTGTCAGCATCACTATGGAGCAGGATTTCCACTCCCAGATCATCCTCCAGAAGTCCTCTATCGTGTGCTGCAGTGGCCCCTGGCTGGCGATGTAGGAATCCTTCTGGCGATAACCCTGCAAGGTGGGAAGGGCTCAGTGCAGCAGGAGCAATCTCTTGGACAAGGCTGGCCTACCAAGCTCTGCTCAGTTTTGGGAGGATCATATCCCCTGCACACACCTGGCTTTATCCATCTGGCTTTCCAGCACACCTAAGCAATATTGCAAGCTCTGAGTGCTGGAGAAGAGCTTGGCCTTAGCTCCAGGTATTCCACGTAGGATTTTTACTGGGGATTTTTGGAAGAAGCAAAACTAAATGGAACTAGATGATCTTTAAGGTCCCTCCCAACCCAGACCATTCCATGATCTATGAAAAGCAGCAGGAAGGATGGATGACTCTGGCTCTTCTACAACCACAAAATTTGTGTTTCCAAACCCCTCTGACTCCCCTGTGCCCTCCCTGCAGACTGTGACTGCAGATGCTTCGTCATTTGGAGTTTGTCATTTAAGCAAAGTTCAGCAGAGGCAGGAAATTGAATCCTCAGCCCAAATTGCTTACGTGCCACAGAAGCTTTCTGATCTGGATGCACAACAAGGCAGCTGCTCCTGGCTGCTGCTGCAGCCACAGCAGGGACCCAGCAAAGGAGATTTCAGAGAGCCATTAATTAGGGATGTTAGAACTGGGAATAAACTGGTTTTAGTGGGCAAACCAAGTGATTGCCTTTTTGGGAAAAAAAAAAAAAAAAAAAAAAAAAAA